CACAATAGAAAATATACATCAATTAAAAAACAACGTTTTATCTATTCATACTAAAAATTTATTCTTTTAAATATTCATAGAACAAAATATATATTTAATATAACTTACCAATCTCACAGTTTGTACCATTGTATCCATCGGCACAGTTGCATTTATATGCAGCAATCAGATCGGTACAAGTTCCACTATTTTGACAAGGGTCAGGGTCGCATTCATCGATTTCTGTGTACAAAATAAAAAATATACATCAGTTAAAAAACAACGTTTTATCTATTCATACTAAAAATTTATTCTTTTAAATATTCATAGGACCAAATATATATTTAATATAACTTATCAATCTCGCAGTTTGTACCATTGTAATCCATCGGTACAGTTGCATTTATATGCAGCAATCAGATCGGTACAAGTTGCACTATTTTGACAAGGGTCGGGGTCGCATTCGTTGATTTCTGTGGGTAAATAGAATTAGTTTCCACATGCTCTCAGTTTTTACTGCCAATAACTATCTTTGATTTTAGAATGTAATATTGTGTGGTCATGACGAAGTTTAATTTAATAATTAATGATACGCTTAACCCCAAAATGTGCACGTTTACAAAATTTGGATTCGTCAATATTTCATAATTTATCTATTTATTTTCATTGTTGGTACAATATATTATTCAACAGCCAACAGGTGTTCCAATCCTAATCCTCACAAAAACACATTCACAAGTCATGTTAGTACCAGTAGTAACATAGAAATATTTTTTTTTTATTTCAAGGTGTACTTATGTCCAGCCTACCAATCAAATTGTTGCTTTGTCGTTCATACTTTGAACACAATTCACTCTGTGGCCAATTTGTTCTAATTGCTGGTTTTGCCGATCTGAATCAATAACAACACTTCAAATAATTGCAATCACGCAAATCGCGTATAAAAAATGTTTCAGCATTGGCGAAGTGTTGAATATATTATTTGTATTTTTTCTGCAGTAAAAGAACTAAGACGAAATGTTTTAAATGACTTGCCATTTTTAGGAATATTGTTGTTAGTTAAAGAGAATGTATAGTAAATTATAAAATGAAATCTAGAAAATTGAAACGTCTCTTGGCATAATTAACGGTCAAAGAGCCCGTCGCCACGGTAAATCATGAATGAATGAAAACATATGCAAATAAATGCAATGCAATGCTCAGACTACGCTAGGAATAGCCTTACCATTGTCACATATATACCCAGTATATCCTACGTCACAGTCACACGTGAAGTTGTTAATACGGTCAATACAGTCTCCGTTGATACAACGTTTGATGTCGCACTCGTTATTATCTAAACATAATATGGAAATGAGATAATAATACAATTACACTGAAATATGGATATCAAATAAATTTCAATGGGATGTGAAACCATATTATTTATATAAATTATAAGTACACGTGAATGATTTGATCCATTTTGATAACAAAGTTTATTAAACATCGTTTAGAATTCGACATTACTGTGTTAAATTGATAATCACCTGATCATATTAAACAGCTAAAACAGAGTTCGTGACGATTGGTTCAAAACAGAGGCAAAAACCTTTGAACAATATAGAATTGCGAAGGTTAAACGAATCGATAACCGAGCTAGATATATTGGGGTAATTATCGACATCTTTCTTACTTGGAGTCACATGGATAATATATGCAGCACAATTGTAGTCTTGACATTTTTGGGGGCTCCATCAAATAAACGAGAAAGGGCAAATCAAACGAAAGGGTATCCAAATTTGTTTCGAGGGCATGACCCGGTGATTTCCCAAAACGCCCTAGAAGATACGTGTAACTTCTGAAGAACATAGTTCAAAACAAAAATTAGTTCGAATACGCCAAGTTTTGTTCTTCGGATTTCAGCCAATCACAGAATATAACTTGGCAACATTTCAGGAAACGCCTGTGTCAAAAGTGTCACCCGTGTTCTTCTCAGAGCGTATATTTGCCTAAACCATGGAGGTAATAAGAATTCTTATTACCTCCATGCCTAAACTTACCGTTACATACGGGTCTCTGTGGTTGCCATACACCGTATACGCATGTGCTGGAAACGGCTCCATTCAGTGTGAATCCATCGTTGCATGAATACTCCGCCCCTCCGTCATGCATGTATGACGTCACAGTGACTGTCCCATTTCCTAGAAGTGATCGCGGGTCTTCACATGGTGCTGTCAAAAATAAACATAGAAATCTTAATTTGAACATGGCAATGCGAACAACAATTGGCAATGAATATAGAACAATCCGGGAGAAAAATTAAGCCACGTGAAAAGCTATACTAAAAAGCTGGGACCATAAAATGGGAGATCTCTAGCAATATTAAAGGGCGGCAGTCGTCGTGCCGCGTCCTGTTCGATATGGGACTCATAGCGACGTATAAAACATGTGTAAAATACACTGTTTATTTACATAAAATTCGAACACGCGCTGCGCGACGACCACCGTGCTTTAACCACTTTAAGTCCGCCGTGAGTGAACACACTTGTTGACGTCATTGCAGTGACGATGCATTTCTGCGGGCAGGGTAAACTTGAATGTGTGTTGCGCCTCTGAAATATGTTTTTTTTTATTATTTGAATAATGACAGGAGAACACATATGAAAATCATTACCGGCACATGTTGGAGCAGCACTTGTCCATTCACCATTGTTGCACGTAGACTCGTCACTGCCCACGAGTGTGAAATTCAGGTCGCACGACACGTGAACTACGCTGCCATGGAGATACGTGCCGTTTTCCGAAGCCGGTGAAACGCTGCCGTTATAGGGCGTACTTAGATCACTGCAGCTAGCTATAAATATACAATATATTTTAGGTACAAATAAAGTTAACAATTGTTTATTGATCTACTAATTTAAAAAAAATGTAACAGTACATGCTTTATTTATTTATTTATTTATTTATTTATTGCTTCCCTTTTGTAACAGGGGCTCACTATGTAAACTAGGAGCTGCACCAAATAAAAAATACATTTCACTCAAAGACTTATGGATAAAAAAAAAAACTTTTGATAGACAAAAAGAAATTAAGTTACATGAACTAAGATAACAAAATATAACAACAACAAAAGACATCTGAAAGTAGCAACAACAACAACAACAAAAAATAAGAAAACTAAAATATAAGAAGTACACTGGAAAAATATTAAATATTATCTGTATACCTCTTTCTACTGTCCATGGCATCAACTAAGAATTTGTTTGTAAAAGTATCAATTT